ACCCTCTTTTCTACCCCATATGTACTTACTGAAAAAGTATGGTTCCATCTGTCATTTTACTCAGAATTTTACACCAAAAATAATGTTTAGGTGAAGAGGTGAGATTTCACCTGTTTTTTCACCTAATTTTTCACCCTCTTGAATTTTCATGAAATTTACACCAAAAATATACTACTAGGGTCATTTACGAAGAAATCTCAACAAAGTCTTTACGAAGAAATCTTGACAAAGTCTTTACGAAGAAATCTCAACAAAGTCTTTACGAAGAAATCTCAACAAAAACATAGACAAGAAAGTTCATGAGAAATTAGATGAAGAAGTCTTAACAAAGTCTTTACGAAGAAATTCATGAAAATTCAAGAGGTGAGAAATGAGGTGAAAAAAGAGGTGAAATCTCACCTCTTCACCTAAAATATATTTTTGGGTCATTTACGAAGAAATCTCAACAAAGTCTTTACGAAGAAATCTCAACAAAGTCTTTACGAAGAAATCTCAACAAAGTCTTTACGAAGAAGTGTCATATAAACATCTGTCAAAAGCCGCTTTTTAACTTCACTTAAAATGCCACGTAAGCTACGTAAGAATATACGTAAGAGGAAGGGAGCATTGAAACATCCAAAAGTAAAACTGACACCACAACAACAGTTGCAACAACAAATGCTGAATGACCCCACTATGTTGCAACAAATGTCAAGCAATCCTATGCTTTTAAACCGAGTTGTTGGTGCACAGAGTGGAGGTTTAAGAGCGGCACTTTTAGCGAAAATGGCAGGCTATGGTGGAGCTGCAGACGGAACAGCCTATAACCCTCAAAGTCAAATGAATTTGAGTTCACTCAAAAATCAAATAACAGATGTCAAAAAGTCAAACATAGACATACAGAAGCAAATAAGTGAAAACGAAAAGAAACTAGAAATATGACAGACACACAAAGAAACTCAATGAGTTAAACGTAGAGAAAAAGAAGAAAGAAGAACAACTGAAAGAACTAAGTACAGAGGAATATGCGAAAAAAGTGTCAGAAAAGCAGCAGAAGTAGCAAAAATGGAACAAGATGTCATAAATTTGAAAAACCATACTACTCAATATAAAATACTGAAAGATGAAGAGATAAAACAAAAAGCCCTGAAGACATATATGGATAGCGATGAGTATAAAAAAGAAGTTGAAGCAAATGTAAAGGCAGAAAAACTTTTACAGTTGCAAAACCAAAACCGTACAGTATGAAAACTTAGCACAAGAAAGTAAAAATAACGACGCAGCCATGCAAAAGGCAATGAAAAGCGCAGAATATATAAAAGCTAACAATGACTGGTTAGATGCCCAAGCCAACGCTAAAGCAGCCCAACTCATAGGGTCAATAAGGACAAAAATACAAGCGGATGAAGATAGTTCAAATGAAGCTTTAACAAATGCTGACTTTAAGAACGCTTTCGAAGCTCTTCATAGTAAGGTGAAACAAGTGAACGACTTCTCATCTGGAAAGAAACTGAAGTCTGAAGGTTTCGACAACGAGTTAAGAGAAGTAGCACAAAATATGACGAAAATAACAGATGCAGCAACAAGACAGGCAGTTCAAAGTGCCTATGACGCCGTTAGAGCAACTGTTGTGAAAAGTCAAGAAAAAGAGTTACAACAGACCAAAACAGACCTAGTAAATGCTTTCTTAAAAACGAAAAGTCAGGTAGGACATTACGCTGCAGATGGAACATATGTGCCAGCTGGTGGAACTTATATACCACCAAACCCTCCAAGAGAAGCACCTGCACCAGGACTACCTAGAACATTTACATCGTCACATGGACACAGACACAGGCATGCACCAAAACCAACACAACAACCAACAGTTCAAAATCCAACACAACAACCACCTCCACAACCAGCACCAAACCCAACACAACAACCAACAGTTCAAAATCCAGCACAACAACAACACAAACAGAGCAAGGACATAAAAGAAGTAGAGAACAAGGAAACCAAGAATTCTTAAAAATGCTTAAAGAAGAGTGTGGTTTCCCAGATAGTATTGACTTTAGTGACAGATATAAAGAAGCTATTGGAAAGTTCAAGGATGGAAATACTGACCCGAACCTATTTAGCTTTATGGCTCAGCACCAAAACGGATATAATCTCAAACCTGGAAAATACAAGCTCGCTAAGGGATATGATTTAATAGCATATCATCCAAATGACATGAACGAATTTACTCCGAGATATTTGATGTCAGAGCTAAATGACAATTCAACTTTCGTCATGAAACGCGTAAAAAATAGAGACGGAACGAAAGAACAAAAGCTTATGAATGCGGATGACGTAGATAGGGAAATTGTTGAAAACGGTCTCGGAATATATGAAATGCCAGCAGATGAGGTACAAGAAACTCCACAGGAAGAAGTTCAGATACAACCAGACATGGAAGAAATAGTTCAGCAACAACAGCTAGAAGAGCCTGAAGGAAACGAACAAGTCACTCCTTTGGAAACTAACTTCACAGAACTAGATGAAGATTTGGAACAGCCGAAAAATCTTGACCCTCAACAAGAGCATGAGGTGAATATGGAATCTTTCCAAGAGTCTAAGAAAGATTCGGCTGACATAGTAGAAGAATATCGAAAAATGTTTGCCGACATACAAAAGACTCCAACACCAGATGAAAATATTCAGCATAGAATGAAAGTACTGAAAGAAAATGTACACAAATACAACAACCCTTTTTACTTACGAGCATTTAACGTTCAATCTTCGGATGAACTCGGTGAAAATAAAAGGTTAAATTTCAAGAAAACATATAGAAATGAAACATTGTTTAAAGTTCATTCAGAACCTAACCAAGATGGAAACAAACCTACTTTTGTTTCTGCAGACGATGGAACTACAATGAGATGGGGTCATAAAGCTAACCCGGATAGGTGGTTCATAAACTTACAACCACAATTCCAAGAAGTTGTAGACGCAATGGAAGTCAATGGTGAACCAGATATAGCTGGTATTTTAAGCGCGGCTTTAATGCCATTGAAAGATATGAAACATGCAGATATTTTGGACCAGTATGAAATGAACATGGCTGATGGAAATATAACACCTGACGTTCTAGAACATTTATCTCAAAGAACTACACAGAACCATAGAGATGGTATATTTGGTGAAGAGTTTAGAAAGAAAGTTAGGGAGGGAGAAGGAAGAGAACCTATTGTACATGACCTTGCAAACGAAAGTTTACAAAATGTCATAAAAACTTACTTTGCAGACAATGAACCGAGAAGGGATGAATATTTAAGAAAACTCAAATGGACAGTACCAAATGAAATGTTAGTATTGAAAAACATGTTCCTTGACAAAATAAAACCAACTACAGAAATAAACGACGCAAGACTGAAAGATTGGGTAGAAGCTTTCCCATTCACAAAAGATATAGTTGGTAACATGGAAAGAAAACCAGAATGGCTACAAAAACATATATTTGGAAACGAGCATATTCCATATGGACAGGCACTGTTTGAAGAGCTTGAACCGGAAACTCAGGAAAGAGTCATGCAAACAATACGCGAAGACTCAAATACAACTATGACAAACTCTTTCTAGGATATAGGTTACCTGAGATGGGCGACCAGAGCCAAAAGGCAAAAAGGACATGGGAAATTTGCAACATACTAGATGAACATAATGCAAAGATGCAACAACTTCAAGCAGAGGGCAATGAAGGAAAAAGAAGAGTTAAAAACTCAGTCAGGAAGAAAGTAAAGCTTGGTCCACGTGGGTTTATTATGACATATAAATCCAACTATTCTATATTTTTACTCATATGAAATGTACGCCGCTCAGAATATAACGCCAACAGTTTTGGATGCCATGAATGGAAATGTTCCGAATGGTAATAACGAATGCGACAATGCCATTAGAAGGTCAGAAATAGTTCCTGGAACTTACGAATATACAACTGCTGTTTCTTATGGAAATGTAGGTGAGTTTGGAGAAGGTTCTTCCAACAGTAGATATTGCTTGCGACAGGTTTCATATAATTTCTATTGACAACTCTTTCTTATACGTGGAACAAGACATTGAAATAAAACCTTCTGCCAAGTTGTCTGACAAGAAAGGTTGCAATGGAATTTTCTATGTCGGATACCAATATGCTCCAGAAGTTTTCATGGGATATAAGATATATTCTAACTCTGACTTAGTTCAAACAGTAACATGGGCAAACTATGAATGGTTCGCTTTGAGAAACTCAGTACAACCACAAGCTAGAGAACAAACAGACCAGTATGCAACTATTGAGAAATAAGAAGACTTGACCCTAACGTTCCAGGAGTTTATGTTAACCTTTCTGGACAAACTGCAGCAGCAGTAACCAAAGTAAAACTGAAACTTAGAGTTCCTTTGTCATCTTTCCTCATCTTCAGGTTTTTAAGATACTTGCCAAACTGGGCAGGAAAAATTTCTATCGAACTTACTCCAAGCAAAAATAACTTAGTCATTGCACCAACACAAGACCCATTCACTCTTACAGACGTAAAGGGAACAAATCAAACGTCATTCGCCGACTTTTGCAAAGACAAAGTTGACTTAGACTTTGGTTTTCAAACCTCAACACTGAAGTAAACTATTATTTCAATGCTGCTGGAACTGCTTGGGACCCAGTTAAGTTCACATGCGAAAAGTTTGAATGCAAGAGAATAGAAAGCAGACTTGCAGTCTATATGTTGGACCCAGATATTTCAAATGCTTTAGCTGCCAAATATATTGCAGTTCCACTTATGTTCCCTATACACCAAATATCTGTCAAAGACTTTGCAGGTGAAGTTGGAAACCAAAGTGCTGACCCAGGTGCAAGAACAGATATTGCTTTAACAACTGCAATGAAACATGCAGATACTATGTTTGTACTGTTCAGACGAACTATAAATGACTATTCTTGTTTCTACAACCCCGGTATTAAATATCATATAAACATAGATGGCAAATATTATCCAAGAGAAGAATATTCTACAGTTGAAGATATGAGGTCATACAACTTGACATTAGATGCTATGAACTTTAACAACAACTTCACAACAACCATTAACCCTGAAATGCAAAGTTCTATTATGCCATATGTGAAAGTATGGACTCATACAGGAGCTCAAAACACTCAATATACAAATGGAGACCGTTCAAACTTTTGGCTTGGCATTCCATTTGCTGACTCAGAAGACTTTATGGGTGGTATTTCAACTGTTGGTACAGTTCAAATACAATATACTGGTGACAGAGACGGTCCAAATGAATTGAAAGCAAAGAAGTTTACAAAACCAATAGCACTTTTCACGGAAGATGCTCTTTTGAAAATTCGTTCGATGAAACCTGCTGGGGCTCCTCAGATTGGTATAACGACAGCTTCCATCGAGCAGATTTTGGCAGCAGGTCAGTAAGTTGTTCTTGAACTGACTTCTCTCCGTCAAATATTGACAGTACGCCAGTTTTGATATAATATTGTATTATAAACTTTCCTTTAGAAATATCGGTCAGTTTTGTTGCTATATTTTTGTCTGCTTCAAGAACTTTCACCATCTCGGTTATACCAACTTTCTTTGCTTTATGAAAATATTTTGGTTCAGCAAAGACTGCTATTCTATAACATTTTCCATTGTTTGTATAAAGAACTATTCTGTCAATGAACTTGTATTGTTTGTGTGTGTAAACTTTGTTTTGCTTCAATTCGAAGAGATACTCAAATACGTCCATCTTTTATTCTAAGTAAAATGTCATTTCCGAAAAATAGAAGCGTAAGTGTTTTCAAAAGGTTTAATGGCGATGGCAGATGTGAAGTTAAATTCACCAACTCAAACAAACAGTCAAAGTGTTGTTGTCAATGTCAAAGAAAGAGATGTTGAAGTGGGGAAACCATACGAAGACGAAGATGGTATAACAATAGTTCCTGTAAAAGAACCAACATACCCTGAAGTTAGCAGAGACTTAAGTTCTGTTGCAGATATTCGAAATGACTACCAACAACTTAAAGACAAACTTAAAACTCAGGAGAAGATTTGTCAAGCTTTAGGTATAATGTTAAACTTGGTCGAACACAACCCTGTAAAAGTGAACTCATATGTCATTGCACCTCATGAAGTTTTGAAAGAACTATTGAAACTTTTGACAGAGGCAGACGATATAAACATCAAAGAAATAGAACCCGACATTGCTTGCTGTGGTGTTTCATATAATGTCATTGACAAGATATACGTTATGAAAGGAGGTGAAACCTTGAACTTAAAATATAGTTTCCCAGACGTCATAAAAATATTTGACGACCACAACATTTCATTAAAATTTAGTTGCTAAGTAAATGGCAGAAGACATAGTGGTTTATACTATTACGACTAAAAACCCCGAGTCATATAATTCTATAACAACAAACTTACAAAGTCCTCAAGGACGATATTGTAAACTGACCTTAAACACGATGACGACTAAAGCCTGTTTTGCTCTTTTGACACCAGAAGACTTTGTTGTTGTGAATGGTAAAAAATACTTCTTTGAAGATACTTACTCAGATATACCACCAACAGGTTTTGTTGACTTATTTAATACTTTAAGGACGGATGTAACATGTGCTGCAACTAGAGCAGGTTTCATTATGTTTGGATGTCCGACTGAGTTTAGTATAAACGATATGAGCTATAATACAAAACTTATATCTGGTTTTTACTACCAACAGTTTCCTATAAGAGGAAAAGGTGTCATACAAGGTTTGTCTGTTCCATTGACTTTAAGTACACCTATTTTATATATTGTTTCAAACTTAGGTTCAAAGTGCTATTCGAATGTCGACAGAAACTACTATGACCAAAAGATACTCATGCGTATAAACAACACTTTCTCTGCTGGTTTGCCTATTGTTCATTCGAATGCAGAGTTTTCAGCTTTAGTAAACTCAAACACTTTAGCAAACATAAACTTAACCTTAGTTGACGCAAACTTTGTTCCTGTAAAACTTTTATGTCCTATGTATTTGTCAATGACGGCAGAAAGTTTCGAATTGGAAGATGCAACTGGTGAAAGTATTGTACTACAAGAACAACTTCAACAACAAATAGCTCAAGAACAACAAATGCAACAAATGGAACAAATGCAACAACAAAGTCAAGAATAAAAAAATATTATTTTTTTTTTATTTTTATAAAAATGTACAGAATAGATGTTTCAGATTTTTATGACTTCCAAGCCTTCAGAAATATGTGTCCATTTAGAGACTATAACAAAGCAGTCGAGAATTTGAAACGTTTAGTCATTTATGTTGACTCTGCCCCAGAATGTTATGTCATGAAAGAATGGGATGTTGTCTTTAACAAACCAAGAGCAACAATAGTTTCAGAACAAGAATGTAGACAGAAACTTAAGAAAATAAAAGTCGTACAAGTTGGCATGAAGATGTTAGATGCTTGGGATATCTTATTGTCAAAGTTAGAAGATTTTTCAGTTCGAGGTATAAAGTTCTATACACCTTCTCCAAACTTCTATTCTATCTTCACTGGATATAAATACGAACAAGTAGAATGGAAAGAAAATATTATAGAAGCTTGGTTAGACCATGTCAAAGAAATTATATGCAATGGAAACGAAAGAGTCTATGAGTATATCTTATGTTGGTTTGCAAACATCTTACAACATCCAAGTGCTAAAAATGAAACTGCTCTCATTATAATTGGAAAACAAGGAACTGGTAAGAACACATTCTTTACAGATATTTTGTGCAAACTGTTAGAGGGCTATTCGAATCCGAATATGACAAACTTAGAAAACATCTGTGGCAAGTTTAACTCCTCAATAGAGAATATGAAACTTATAGTTTGCAATGAACTTCAAAGTATAGATACAACAAAAGTTTTGAACTCAGATGCTTTGAAGAGTCTTATAACAGACAAAGTTGGAGTTGTTGAAAGAAAATATAAAGACCAAAGAGTTTGTGAAAATGTTGCAAACTTCATTATGGTTTCAAACAATTCTGTTCCGATGAAGTTAGAAAGTTCTGACAGAAGATATGTAGTTGTCAGAACGTCAGAAGCTCATATGCAAGATACAGAATATTTTGACGACTTAGCAGAAACTTTGACATCTGACTTTTACAACCACTTGTTCTCATATTTCATGACATTAGATATTTCAAAGTTCAATCCAAGACAAATTCCACATACCGAAGAGAGACAAACATTGTTAGAAGCAAACAAGAGTGTATATGAACTGTTCATAGATGAAACTGACTTTGTGTCATTAGATGAAAGGTCTTTATATGATGAATATAAACAATATTGTCAAGAATATGGTTATATGGCAGCTTCTAAACGAACATTCTTGGCAAATGTCAAAAGTCTTTTAGATGTTCAGAACGGCGTATATACAAAGAAAAATTTTTCTGAGTAAATTTTATAAAAAATATTTTTTTATCCGATAAAAAAGATGACGAAATTCATCTCAGTAAATAAGTACATGACAGAAGTCAAAGATAAGTTAGCTCCATTCGCATATTTGAATGTTTACTTCTACAATTTTGAAAAGTCTACATTTGACAAAATTTGGAACATTGCACCCGTTAAGTTTGCTGTTGTTAGAAAAAGTGGTGCAACTTTTGAAGACTTAGACATAGAAGGTTTGTTAGCAGTCAAAGAAAATTTTGACAGAAAGTTCTCAAAACTCGAAGAAGGCAAAGCATAAAACTTGTTATACCTTATGAACCAAAGAAAGCAGACGACTATGAATATTATGAGTCTAAGATAGTTGAAGTTCAAGGTAAATTGGGTAAAAAGATTTTAGAGTCTAAGCCAGTGTTTGCTCCTAAAGAGGAAGAGAACATTGACATTGACCCAGAAATGTTCTAAAATAAAATTTTATTTTTACATGTCAAATTTCTTTTTCTCTGGAACTGGTTCAGGTTCTTTCTTCTCTTCTACTTTCTTTTTTTCTTTCTTTCTTTTCTCTCTTCTTCTTCTTTTCTGGTGGAGTTATGTCAAATTTCTCAGAACCATATTTATGTAAAAGTTCTTTGTCCTTTAATAGCTCTTCTATTCTGTTTTCTATTTCATCTTCAAGAACAGCGCATGTGCCTTCTTTGCATTCTAAGAACTTTTGTTGGACTTCATCTTTCCAATCGGCGTCATCTCTGTCAACAAGTCTGTCATTGACAAATTTTAAGACTGCTCTTTGTAATGTTTTATGGTTCTTGTCATATTCCCAGAAACAGAACTTTAGAACAAATTCACCTTTCTTGTTTACACTATGTAAGATTTTATGGTCGACAGATGTTTTGCTGTCGAAAAGTTTTGTCTCGAATATAGATAGCGAAATCGCTAGACATTTTCAAAAAGATAAAAATTTTAATTTTTCTAAAAATATGTTAGAAAAAAAGTTTGCTGACATTGACAAGAAATTTGAGAATGTTTTAAACAAGAACAAGAGGAAGTTAGAAAATGCTCAGATAAAACCCATACATGAAAAGTTCTTATTTGCTCAGAATGGTATAACAGGTCTAATCGCACCACCTGGGTCGGGTAAGACTTTCACTTATCTTAAAATGGCTGCACAACAACAAGAACTAGATGAGAAGAACCCATTCTATGAGTTAGTTGTTATTTGTAGTACTTCTGGTCAATTTGACCAAACCGTCAATTCGTTCAAAGATATTATAAAGAAGTCTAAGTTAGTATGTATAAAGGATACTGAGTTGTTAGATTGGATAAAGAAGTACCAAAGAAGAGTTTTGAAGTATAATGCTATAAATGAGTATATAAATTCGAAGTTTAAAGACCCAAATGAGGAAATGCAGAGAATATTAGAGAAGAAACACTTCAGAAACAAACAGAAAGAGATAGAATACATTTCGAAGAAATTGCAATCTTACGATTGGAAAACGTACCCTCATAGATGTCTTCTTATCTTAGATGACTTTGCTTCTCATCCTTTGTTAAAGAACAGAGAACAAGATATGTGTCGAATTCTTAAGAAGCTCAGACACTTTAACATCTCAGTCGTAATATGTGTACAGACAGCAAAGAGTTTAAGTAAGGATGTTAAAAGAATACTTACTGACATTATACTTTTCCCTGGATTGTCCGAAGACGATTTCATGGAACTTATGAAAGAGTCCATGGCAGGTAAGTTTGACAGACATGAACTATGGGAGAAGTACAAAGTCATACAAGACCCTCATACTTCTTTCAGAATTCACATCTACGCGAACAAAGTTCAAATTGTAAAAAGTCAAGCGTAAAAAATAAAGAGTTTTGGCGACCAGGGTTTTTTCATTACTCGCTGTTCTTCACGATTTTCCGAGGGAAGCAAGCATATGAGGAAATTCATGAAATTTCATACGGAATTCAATAAAAATAATGTTTAGGTGAAGAGGTGAGATTTCACCTCTTTTTTCACCTCTTTTTTCACCTCAGTTATTTTATAAGCGTTTCACATGGTAAACGTTATTTTTTAAATTTTGTGAAAACTCAACGGTTTGACACAAGCCCTAAAAATTATTTTACTCAGAATTTTGTTGCTGAATTCAATAAAAATAATGTTTAGGTGAAGAGGTGAGATTTCACCTCTTTTTTCACCTCTTTTTTCACCTCTTTTTTCACAAGCGTTTTACATGAATTGTACGATGTATATTTGAAATCCTAAACAATTTCGTAGCTTCTATTTCTTCTTTTAGTATGTCAAATGTTTTAACGATACCGAAAGTTTCTTTATACTTCTTCTTGACATCAGATAGAAGGAAATCGTCTGCTGTTGGATAGTTTTTGTTCAGAAATTCTAACATGTCCATTTTATTTTCTGCTGGCTTTTCTGCTTCTTTCTTTAAATCTGCATAGTCGTTTCTCATTCTTTCTATCTCTTTGACGGAGTAGTTATATTTCCTCATTGCTGCTTTACATTTTGAACATTGCGGGTTCATTTTTGCATTGTACATTGAAACCTTACCTGCAAGTACGACTAAGGCGTCAATGGTTTTCTTTAAATCTGAAGCAGTTGGTCTTATCTGTTCGTTCCATATTTTACCCCTTCTGTCTTTATCTCTTATCTGCCATACACATTCAGCAACTAACGAAACAAAGTTGTCGTAGGTCTTAAACTCCCCAGATTTATATATGTCAGAGATGTTCTTATATACCATATCGCAGTCTTTGTCCATGACTTTGTGGTTGCAATGAAAACCAAGGAATTCATAATTTACCTTTCGTATGAACTTCTTTATTTCTACCGAGTCAGTTGGTTTCACTTCAATTTCGTCGAATTCAGGAATAGTTAGTTTTTGTTGTTGGATTTCAGGTAGTTTAGGTAGATGGTCAATAATATCCTGCATTTCATAAAGATACTGTTCATTTTCTTCATCTTTCGCACTACAGTCTAAATTACTTGTTAACAGTTCTTGCTTTATCTTCTGGATTTCTGTTTCGAAAGTATATGAAGAAGGAATGAAGCTTTTCATTTCTACTAACATTGACGTAGGATTCATGACTAACGAGTTTGGTGAAGTTGTTGCTAACATGTTCTTACAATAAAAATAAAAAAAATATTTTATAAAAAACTAAAATATATTTTTTATCTTAAGGAAATTCATGAAAATCCAACGGGTGAGAAAACAGGTGAGAAAACGGGTGACATCTCACCTCTTCACCTAAAATATATTTTTGTCGAAAAAAATGGTTCATTTACTCACAATATTTTTGTACAAAACAACCCCAAGCTTTTAACCTCTCTTCTGCAGCTTCTAATGCTATCTTAGCGAGTTCATATTCTCTAAATTCTCTCTTTAAATCTTCTGTTCCCATTGGTCTAGTTCGTATGGCGAGTCTCTATAACCAGAACATATCTCACGTTCATGTTCTATTTGTTTTTCATGCATTTTTCTAACTTCTTCTTCGAACAAAGGTTTTGCATTCTCTACTGTATCTTCAAGTTCTTCTTCATCTAATTTCTCATGAACTTTCTTGTCTATGGAGTCCATAATTTTTCCAACTGCTATGCAATATTTTGGAGAAGCCCACATTGCTATATAGTTTACAAGTCTTGGGTCTACATACATTCCTCTAACCTGTTTGATTTCATCAGGAATTCCTGCATGAATTTTGTATAAAAAGCAACCCGCTGTTTTCCGCGGGTTGGTATATTCTTCACAAAATGCCTCAAAATACTCTTCCCAGGACTTATTTTCCAACAACCTTCTAAAGTCCTTCCTAAACTGCTGACACATATTTGTTGCATTTATATAACCATCCTTGTCTCTACGTAAGACTTCAATACCGTTGTAAGTGCCTTTTGTGAATGTTTCGCCATTAGATTTGTTCGTGAACGTTTTTGCTTCGACTGACATTTCTGTTCTTACAATAAAAATAAAAAATATTTTTTGGTGGGACGTCGGACATTCGTTTGTGGCTTAACCGTCGGACCACAACGATAAAAATCTCGACAAAACATATACGATGAAGTCTCAACAAAACATTTACGATGAAGTCTTAACAAAAATATACGATGAAATCTATTTCCTGTGTTGTTGTCAAAATGTCATGTTGTCACACTTTTTCAAAAAGATGTTAGTTGACCGAGTGACCGAGTGACCGAGTGACCTGGTCGCCTAAAATATATTTTTTTCTATCTTAAGGAAATTCATGAAAATTCACCTGTTGAATTTTGTATAAAAAGCAACCCGCTGTTTTCCGCGGGTTGGTATATTCTTCACAAAATGCTTGTTTTGAGGTCGAGCCACTTTTGGCTCCACCTCTTTTTTCAACCAAAAACTCATTTTTGTCGAATTCAGCACAAAATTCATGAAAATTCAACGGGTGAGAAAACAGGTGAGAAAACAGGTGAGAAAACAGGTGAGAAAACGGGTGAAATCTCACCTCTTCACCTAAACATTATTTTTCAATACTTTTTCAGCACTTTTCCGTAGTTATATATGAAAGACAATTCGAGATAAAAGTCATAGTACAATGGAATAATATGTTGCACACCATTTGTTGTGAACCAAACTTGAAAGTCAGAGAAACTGTTACTAGGTGGTTCGTAGAATTTAGAAGCAAAGTCATAAAAGTCCTTACCAATACAAAGAAAACTACTGTTGCTTGAACTGAAACTTGCATGACACATAACATTTTGAGGGTCAAACACGTTTCTATAAACCATCAAATCTGCTGGTGGAAGTATAAATTTAAATGGACCATCTGGTGGTAATGGTTCGTTCTGGTTTAGTAACCGAAGAAATTGTGCCCAAGAACGTTTGTCTACTTCCCAAAATAAAAACTCTGTATCTCTTGGAGGGTTAATTTCAATCTTTTGAAATGAAACGGTGGAGTTCATCTTGTCATATTCTAGTTTCAGATAGTATGTTCCATTTAGTAAAGAGTCGTATTTTTCTTGAAATTCCCAATAATATTTGTTTATTTGAGTTTGAAAGTCATTTAGAGTTTTCTCAAGACTTTCGTCTGAACGAATTGTAAAGATTCTCATTTCGTCAAATTTGTCTATTAGACCATCAGGACCTTTATACTGCCCATGAAAATCTACTGCGAACATAAATGCGTTAGTTCTATTTGAAAACAAAACTCTTCTAAATCCTATTGCCTTTGCATCTGAAGGACTTTGAAGCCAACGAATTGGATAGTCAAACTTGTATGCTCGGGATGAAATTTCTTCATCTGATATAGTCCTACCGGCATTTGTGAAGATATAGTCTAACGGTTTTGTATCTGCTACTTTTGTTCTTTGTTTTTCAACCTGAAGCATTTAATATATGTAAAAATATATTGTTTTAAAATGGTATGCCATATAGCTTCTTGAATTTGTTAAGAAGTATTTGAACGTATTTTCCATCTGTATCTCTAGTGTTTACATAAGCATAGCCTGCCTTAGTAAAATATACTTGTAATTTCCTATAGTTTACGCCGGTATAAAGTAGAAAGAGTCTTGTTCTTCGCTATAGTAGTAAAACTCAAACGTATGCTTGCCATAGTCTGTAATTTCAATTGTTTCATCTTCTAGTTCGTCGACAAATTCGAATACAATATCTCCAAATTTGCCTTTGTTCTTATTGTTTTCAGAACGAGTGACCCAACGTAAGTTTTCAAGTCTATTGTCGTTTCTTATATGGTTTATATGGTCTACAAAAGGTAAATTGTTAGGATTCAGTATAAAATGAGTTGCAATGACAACATGTTTAAGATAGTGTTTTCCACCCATCTTCATAATAGCATATCCGTCATTTCGCTCCCATTCGCTTAAAACTCTTTTTGTCTTTTTGTTTCTGACTTCAAATGACTCACAACAGTGAATTTCATATTTCTCATCTAACAAACAAGTTTCCCAACGGTCTTCTCCAACAAACTCAGCGTACATTTCAAATAAAATAAAAAATGTCACTTTTTTTAAAATAAATTTTTTATTTCATGCAATGTTTTATTTCTGTGCCGTCTTCAAGTATGCCCCAATATTTCCTTTTCGATATTACATGAACTTCGGAAAATACCTTATCTAGCTTAAAACAGCCCATCTTTTCACCGACCATTCCCATTTCAATGAGTTTGTTGTACCCTTCTTCGTTCGTCATGAGTGCGTCAATGTTCTCATAGTAAACCTTCACTTTGGATTTGACTTCCGAGAAGAATTTGTTGTAGTTGTCAAGGACTGCTTTTGCGAACTGAGGGTAAGACCAATGTTCGACAATAGGTTTTAATGTGGTTACTAAGCCACTTTGACCTTGAGTGAATTCGTACTTCAAAACAAAAGGAGAAAACCTTTCAACAAAGTTGTCGACCTTCTCATAGTGTTTACTCTTCATCTTTTGAGGTTTCTTAATGGAATATCCCCATGTCGAATTCATAAGCAATTTGAGTGTCATTGCAAGTTTGGGGTTTGAAGCTTTCCTAATATCATACAGTTGTTGTATGACTTTTCCAACTGTATAGTTCCTTCCCGGGAACTCACCATCTTCGTTTGGAATTCCAGTTGGAATATATTGGACAAACCTCATGTACGCAGCGTTAAGGTCGACATAGTATATCTTTTCGTTTGAGTCGAACTTGTCGCAACCAATCGGTCCAGTTCGTGGAAATTCAAGCGAGTCTCTTATCTTCTGAGAAACTTCTCCTGTTATCTCATAAACATCGTCGAAGCAACCTGTTTCATATAAAACCTTCTGACCTAACTCAGATGCTCTCCAATACAATTTGACGTCAATTGGATGTCTCAATGGAAGTTTGTTTATAGCATCTTGAAGTTCTTGCAACCTCATTGGAAGTTCTTCTGGTTCAGGTTGGTATCCGAACAATCCAACTCCTTGTGGAATTGTGTACTTCTTTTGTCCTAGAACTTTGTCTGGAACAACTTTTGGTCTTGCTAACAGTGAAAAGTTTGTTTCGTCTTTTGGTACAAAAGTTTCTGTCAGCTTGTCTTCTGGAATCGGTTCCAACAAACCTTTCTCGAAAAGAATGTTTACAGCTCTGACAATGTTGCACTTGCCTTTTCCGAACAATGGGTTTGTAAGACTTTCGTTCAACATGAAGTGGTTGTGGACAATTACAATCTTCAACCATGGCAATTTGAAGTCAACAACATAGTCGTCGTGTGAAGAACCTTTCTCAGTCGGAATGTTAACTCGGATATTCACATTTGCTAACGGTGCAACTTTTGCCAATTGACTTCTGAGCATGTACCTTGTCTTCACACATGACTCAAGATACTTCATCTTCTCTTCTGAAACAAGACCAGAGTTCCTGAGACATGTAAGAATACAAGGTTCGTTGACAATTGTTTCAATTGAATTGTAAATTCCATACCTTGTCAAGTCAATGTCAGACTTATTTCTGAAGGGGAAGTATCCAGCATGTTGTCTGACTGCTTGAGGGTTAGGTTGGTACCATTCGAACTTGACACTTGCAATTCCTTCAATTGCATTCAAAATGTCTGAGTCGGAGTCAACCATTTGTTCTCTCTTTGTAGTCTTGAAAGCGTCAAGAAGCATTGCAGCTGTTGTGACATTGCCATGTGCATAGTAAATGTGACCGTCCAAATCTGTTATGGTCAATCTGAGATTGTGTCCTTTCTTATTTCCGTCTTGTATGGCAGCAAGTACACCCATGAAGCCTTCTTTGTTCTTTCCTTCGTCAAAGTTTACTGTAAAGGTTCGACCAGATGTAATTTGACTTCTAACTTCACGATACTTCTCATATGCATATCTTGTTCTTTCCATGGGAGCATGTTTGTCTTCACCTTTTCCTTTTTTCCTTCTCAAAGGATGCAATTGTTCGTCATGTTTCCAGTAGAATCTGGCAAAGCCGTCGTGTCCTTCAACTTGAGGTTCACTAACATCGAAAGGCATGTCCATAAGACGTTCTTCTTCTAACCTCTCTAGTCTGTTTGGATAATTGGCACGTGCTGTTTCCAAATCCATTTCGTAGCGAAGACCAGACAGTTTGTCATAGACTTTTATTGGCTTTCCCTTCCTATATTTAAACTTCTTCGAAACTTTCCAACCATATCTTTCTAACTCTGCTTTTATTCTAGCAGACCTTCTGTCCATTCTATACGGGGGCATTTTTACAAAAATAAAAAAATATTTTTTTTCTTTACTTTACATAACCACCTGCTGCCATAAGTCTTTGACGCCAACCCATACCAGCTAATGAAGGTTGACTTGGTTTAGTTTGGAAACTAAACTTTGGTTTTGGTTTATCTTCAGTTTTTGGTTTTTCTTCTTCTATCGGTTTTTCGTCACTTTTCGGTTCCTCTGACTTTACCTCACTTGCAGGAACAGTTGTGTCGTCAACATCTTCATAAATATCATATGCCATTTGTTTTTGTTTTCCTTTCAACTTTTTGTGTTTGTTGTAAAGTTTAGAATATTTCGACTCTAAGTCAATGAGATGTTCTATAATGAACTGTTGGTCAGTGAAGTAAACTTTTCCATCTGTTGTCTCGAAAGCTCCTTCAGACTTCAATATTTTATTTGTGAGAGTCTGTTTCTTTTTTGAGATACTAGCCGTTCCATTTCTATGAAAAGTGACTTTGTAGTTAGGGTTTGTATTTCCAGACCTGGCACTTTCTATTATTGAATTTTTCTCTTCATCTGTAAGTTCTTTGACAGGTTTTGACAATGGTTCTGAACTTTTTGTTTGTGGTGTCAAATCTACCGTTTCAACTTCTTCGGTCATTTCATCTCAGTAAAAATTTAGTTTGGTTTGTTTTCAACTGGTTGTTTAGGTTTTTTAAGTCGGTCTAAAACTTCCTGAGGTATAGGAAGAACTTGACAAACACGTTGTGTAACTGCTGGAAGTCGACAAAATCCATCTTGAACCCATTTGTCTCAATGCTGTATTGTTTCATTTCATCTCAGTAAAAAACTTTACATTCCCCAAGTTTGAGGTGGTTGCGGTTGGTTATTGTTTACCCACTGTTGTGCATGGTTATATCCTCTGTTAAAGAATCTTTCACCTTGGTCCATATAGTGTCCTGCTTGGTTATAGTAGTCATTTGCTTTGTTATAATAGTTTCCTGCTTGTCTTCCTACATTGTCCATCCATCCTTGAACTTTTCCTCTTGTTTCAGGATTTGGAATAAGATTTGCTGCATCTCGTGCTACCTCCCAACCTTTCTGTACAGTTTGTATAATAGGTTGTGCTTTCTCTTTCAGTATACCTAATGTACTCAAAATCTTCCTTCCAATTCCAAATGCACCTCTAGCTATTGTTCCCACTGCGGGCAAAAATCTGGATGCAACTCCTGCTAATGCGCCAAATAAACCCATTTCTTATGGGTTAAAAAATGACGAATCCAAACAAGGACCCCTATGTTTCTAAGGCAACAAAGAAAGCACTCATGATAAAAATCTTTAGTTCAACACCAAATGCTTGGTTTATGGATATCTTGGAAAACATTCCGAGAGTTAGAACAGATGGACCTCCATACTGGTTAATATTTGTCGGTCAAAACACAAGATACTGTGAAGCCATACCATTACAGTCCAAAAATATTTTAGATGTGAAAACTGCTTTGACAATATTCGTTGACAAATACCATCCAACAAAACTGACATCTGACTTTGAAAGTTCTTTCAAATCAGATGATATTAAAAACTATCTGCGTTCAAAAAATGTAAACCAATATTTCATTGTCGACCAAAACCATTCTGCTCTTGGTGTCATTGACAGTTGTATAAAAATCTTAAGAGACTTAAACCAACCACAAGGTGGTGAAGCAAATGAAATGTCATATGACGACAAGTATAGACACTTCTCCATGGCAAAGATGAGACAATTTTAAATATTTACAATAACCGTAAACAAAAAGGTTTGGGAAACCACTCCCCCGAAGAAATGAAAAACAACCCTGACTTAGAGAAAGACTATATATTTAATAGTTTAGTCAAAAGAGACAAACAAGAAAGAATGCCAGGCTTCAAACTTAAGAAAGGTGACAAAGTAAAAATAGAAATACCTAAACGCGACCCATATGAAAATACTATTGACTATGACAACAATGGGAACTCGACAGGTACTCGCATTCGTGTTCGTAAAAATAGAAGAAAGTATACAAGAGAATATTATGAAGTTTTAGGCAAACATGGCAAAATGTACAGACTGCAAGCAGAAGATAAAACTACTATTGTCAGACCTCGTTTCAAACTTGTTAAGGTTCAAGGTGGTATACTTTCAAAGACAGTTCCTAACAAATATAAGACAACTCCTGACGAATATGCTAAAGAAGTTGAAAATGACGACTAAGCATTTCTATACCATGCGTAAACTGTCATGTAAGGTGGCATGTAGTCTTTACTTTGTCCCGTTGTTTGCGTATACCCTGAAACGAAATGTGTATGGTTTCCTTCTCCCTGAGTGTCACTCCAGTAACAATTTATAGCAAACTTAACGTCGTCTTTAACATCATATCCTTTACCTTTTGTCATTCCTGACCAATCCCAATATCTATGCTTATGCCAACCTGCTTGAGATGTACTTAAATCTATGTAGTGACTGTGTGCAGGTAAGTTTTCACCTGAAATCGTTTTACTTCCACCTGTTTCCTTTGAAGAGTTTGCACAATACAAAAACCTGTCGACTATTTGTTCCCATGCACCAACACCAAACGTTACTTGAGGACCTCTTGCATCCGTAGATGTATAAATAGAACCTACTGGGTTCATTAAATCAAACATATGAGATATTATAGGATTGTCTCTTTTGAACTTAAAATATAGTGCAACTATTTCAGGTTTCTTCTGGTTTGTGTTAGAATATTTTTTATAATATAATCTTATGTTTTCAGGGTAGGTAAAGTCTTGACTATAATATTTATTTCTGTCATCTTCATAATAGTATACTATTCTCGTTTTTTCTATTGCATTATATCTTTTATATCTATAAAAATCTAAATATAATGTTAGCTTTTGTTCATCTACATGTGGTGTTCTAACGTCATCTCCATAGTCATAATAATATGGTGCTGGAGCTGGGTCAGGCAATGTCATATCTGCCATTTCATAAACTCTTAAATATTTCTTTTGTTCGTCTCCATAGAAGTTTAAGTAGCAGTTGTTGTCTAATGGAACTTTAACTTGTGTACCATCGTTCTTTTTATAGCTTACATACATTTCATTGTTATTTTTCGGAATGAGTTTATACCGTGTACCATTTTCTAAGGACTGTACCAACTGCCATCTAAAATATTTATTTTCTTCATTGACAGAAAGGTCACCAACAATAGTCTCAATATTTTTTGTTCCAACTAAACTTTGGTATATTTCATTGACATATGTTTTATCTGCTTTATTTTCAAGGCTAACGTTTAAGTCTGTTATTTCAGAAGATGTATGTGTATGTCCAACGGCACTTTTCCTGTTTAAGGTTTCTTGTAAGTTTGTAATATTTGCAATGGTATGTGTATGTCCAACGGCACTTTTACTGTTTAAGGTTTCTTGTAAGTTTGTAATATTTGCAATGGTATGTATATGAGTCTTTTTAGAATATTCTTTGTCAGCTCTTGTCACTTTCACTTGACATTTTATTGTCAACATATGTTTTGTCTGCTAGTTCAGGATGAGTATGTTCTTTCGTTGCATATGTTGCATCTGCTCTGTCATGTTCTTCTTGAACTTTTTCAATGACATACTCTTTGTCAGCTTTGTTGCCAACATCTGCTTTCAAAAGAAGTTCAGATATAGGTTTCTCGTTTAAAGTTCCTTTTGTTGGATTTATACAAACAGTATGGTTCTTACTGTCTTGAAACAGAAAACTCGTCTGTCATTGGGTTTATCGTCAGTTTTAAGTTTCCTTCTTTCAATGACTCAGATATCTTAGAATAGTTTGAAAAGTTTGTTGTGTTCTTATTTAGAGCTTGCAAAATGAGTTGTCGGTTGTGTTGTATTTCTCTCATAGACGCTGTTTCTTTCGACATTTTTATTCTAGATAAAATATGCTTTCAATAGAAAAAGAAAATTCAAGAGTTGCTACAACTAAACCATTAGATGAACTTTTTACTAACGTAGGTCAAAAGTTTGAGACAGAGACCGTAAAGCATGAAGGCTATCGTTTTGACTACCCACTAAGATGGTTAAGAGACCCATCTGTCACAAAAGCTATTGGCTTTCGTAGAATGAAGTTCATTTCAGAAGCCATACATGGTTTCCCATTTACGGTCGGTTTTGAAGTTCGATACTATAACAAAGAAAAACGTACGTATGAGAAATTTGAACAGGGAAAACTTTTACAAGTTAGTTTGCTTGTAAACTTAGAAACAACTCTTCAAGCTTTTCAAGAAAAAATAAACGATATCTATCTCGAATATGCAAAACAGTACAACATTGACGAAGGAGAGTACCATCTCGATATTTTATATGACAGGAAAAATGCAACTGTTAAAATCAATAGAATAGAAGACCTTGGAGAAGACGTTTATATTTCTACAAAATATAACAACTTGGCATGGTATAGATTTTTGAGGATGTTAAATCAGCCTGCAGAATATCCAGTACACCCGAACTTTTATGAAGTCGAAAACCCTAATGGAACATATGAAAATGTTTTCGACTCAGATGCTATTATAGTTCATGCTTCATTTTCTGGTGCACAAAACTCTTTTTTATGCTTGGCAAATGACTTTTACGAAAAACCTACAAAGCTATATGAACCACCAAGTGGAAGTATTTCAGACTTTCAAGTATGGTTTACAACAGATGGAAGAAAGAGAATAATTCCATTATACCATGCGTTTTACTTAGAACTTAGTTTCATATACAACTACTATCGAACGGTAAAAATATGATTTTTTAATACGGTTGAGGTGTTGGATTTGGTTGCCAACTAGACTGTGGTGCAGGTTCAGGCTGTTGTATAACAGGAGCTTGTTCTTCTGGTTCAGGGTCTTTAGGTATAATACCAACAAACTGACCTACTCTTTTACCAATATTTTTGACTCCGTTCCATACTCCTCTTCCTACGGTTTTTATTCCATTCCATATACCTCTTCCAACATTTCGAAAGAAGTTTCCAATACTACTGAAGAAACCCATTTTACTATATGTAAAAATCTAATGTCCGCCTAGTCTCTTACGTTTCCTGTTGAGTTCCATAGCATTTTTTAACTGGAGCTCATACATTCTATTTCTCCTCTGGTAGAAAACATACTCTGGGTCAACTCCTGTGTTCGCGTCATCTGCATAGAGTTGTTTATATCCCACTTCAGGTTTGTATAAAACTCTTTCCATCTCATATTTGCATACCATGGTGGCAAACCTAACGCAGCGTCATTTGACATGGCAGTTTGCATTTGTACATCTGTTGGCACTTGACCATAGTTTGCCATTGCAGTTTGTATTCTAACTTCATTTGGAATATTCTCTGGGTTTGGTTGTCCAGGTTGCTGTGCATTTGCTAAGTTCTGTGCGTCCATTTAATATTAGATAAAAATATCTCTTACGAGTACATATGCTGAACATTTGCTGGTATTGGTTCATCTTCATATTCTCTATATCTTTCTGCCACGTCAAATAAGTAAATGACACAATGGAAAAAACCTAAAACAAGTAGTCCTATTTCAAACCACATTTACTTACTAGTAAAATTTCTTTGTTATGACACTTTCTCCAGTTTATAGGACCTCTCTCATATTCTATCTTATCGTATCTAAAATCATAGTCATGTATGTCCTCTAACCATCTCATGACACTTTCCAAACCACTTTTATCGGATGTAAAGTAAAAGCATGGATGGTTATGTAAAACGTCTAAAGTTTCTAAAGAGTCTCTCAAAGTCCAGTCTACTTGGTATTGAAAATCCCATGTGTTATAGAACGGCGGGTCCACTATAAAGAAAACATTTTCCTTGTTTTTATATTTTTCATACAACTCTGTCCAATGACATCTCACAAACTCTATACCCTCAGTATATTTTTCTATGTCCTCTTTGAAAACCTTTGTATAGTTAAGATATAAAACTTTTGACATAAGTGTTTCAATGTCATGAACTCTTATAGCACCACTATATAATAGTCTAGCAGATATACTATCCCAGTCTATATATTCTGCTTTTTTCAAAACCTCTCTCACAATATTTTTGTTATCTAATGGTATACGTTCCATCTTACCTATAGGTATCTTTTCTTTTAACTCTTTCAATATTTTGTTTGTGTCTGGTATATGTTTGAGACGGTTCATATAGTTGTCGAAGTCATTGCATATAATCTTTGAGTCAGGAAATATTGTATGGCACAAATGAGATATATAGAAACTTCCACCGAACAAGTCTACAAATGTTAGACCATTCGGTAGTTTCTTAAGTTCTCTCAATAGAATATCTTTACATCTACTCTTATTTCCAAAGAAGGGTAACGGTGGTTTTGTAAAATTCATTTTATATATATAATAAAAATGTTTTTTCCCTGAAAAGTGACAGAAAAGTGACAAAACATCTTCGGGGCTAGAGGGCACGAAGTGCCTGGAAGCCCCACTGCCTTTTTTTTTTTTTTTTTTTTTTTTTTTAAAATAGTTATATATTAGAAAATAATATGAGTTTATGTGATATTATTTTTCAGAAGATTTTGTGTTCTTCTTCAAAATTTTATTTTTTTATTAAAAAGAATCTTTACAAAATATACATTTACTTTAATTAATATTTAAAAACGTGCTCTATCAAAAGTTCCAAAAATTCAATATTTTAGCTTTTCTGAGGTGTCACGTTTGATGAATTTCTGTTTACAACATTACAAACTTACAAGAAACCTTAAACACTAAAGCAAATAAGACTCATACACATACCATTGCAAATATTACAAACTTACAAGAAACCTTAAACACTAAAGCAAATAAGACTCATACACATACAAGTTTTACAACTTTTACAGCAGATGATATTACACTAAACACAACCTTGCCAAGTAAAGGTCCAACAATACCACCGGCAACAAGTCTTGTAGATACTTTGATATCTAATGACAATAGTATTATGCATCTAAGACAGGAACTCAATGTGCTTAAACAAATTTTGCCGAAACTTATTTACCCGGTTGGCTCATTATATGTTTCAATAAACTCTACCAGACCAGAAGTAGTACTTGGTTTTGGAACTTGGACTCAAATAGTCGACAGGTTTTTGTATTGTGCAAACTCTTCAACGGAAACAGGTGGAAGTAAAACGATTTCAGGTGCAAATTTACCTGCACACAGTCACTACATAGATTTAAGTACATCTCAAGCAGGTTGGCATAGTCATAGATATATTGGTTGGTCAGGAATGACAAAAGGTAAAGGATATGATGTTAAAGACGACGTTAAGTTTGCTATAAATGGTTACTGGAGTGACACTCAGGGAGAAGGAAACCATACACATTCGTTTCAAGGATATACACAAACAACGGGACAAAGTAAAGGAATACATGCCACCTTACATGACAGTTTACGCATGGTATAGAATTGCTTAGTCGTCATTTTCAACTTCTTTAGCATATTCGTCAGGAGTTGTCTTATATTTGTTAGGAACTGTCTTTGAAAGTATACCACCTTGAACTTTGACAAGTTTTTGAAACGAGGTCTGACAATAGTAGTTTTATCTTCTGCTTGCAGTGTGTACATTTTGCCATGTTTGCCAAACTTCTAATATTCTCTTGTATACTTTCTTCTATTTTTACGAACACGAATGTGAGTACCTGTCGGGTTCCCATTGTTGTCATAGTCAATAGTATTTTCATATGGGTCGCGTTTAGGTATTTCTATTTTACTTTGTCACCTTTCTGAAGTTTGAAGCCCGGCATTCTTTCTTGTTTGTCTCTTTTGACTAAATTATTAAATATATAGTCTTTCTCTAAGTCAGGGTTGTTTTTCATTTCTTCGGGGGAGTGGTTTCCCAAACCTTTTTGTTTACGGTTATTGTAAATATTTAAAACTTGTCTCATCTTTGCCATGGAGAAGTGTCTATACTTGTCGTCATATGACATTTCATTTGCTTCACCACCTTGTGGTTGGTTTAAGTCTCTTAACATTTTTATACAACCGTCAATGACGCCAAGAGCAGAATGGTTTTGGTCGACAATGAAATATTGGTTTACATTTTTTGAACGCAGATAGTTTTTTACATCATCTGATTTGAAAGAACTTTCACA